GTTTTTTGGAGCTTCGAAAAATGCAGGAAGACGATGAGAACGAATCTTAAAACTTTGCCAGAATACTACCTGTCAAAAATACTACATCTGGGACAAATTTTGTCAAATTTGGAGATGATCGATTTCGGGCGAATTTTAGTTACCATGTATTCCCCCATATGGTGTTTTCGCACTTTTTCGACTAAAATACTTTTAGGGCATCGGATTTTTTTATGGCACTATGGTATTAAAGTGTAGGCCGGTCCACAATTTCGAACTATTAGGGTTTGGTTTTTGGACCAGTGGAAAATTTTTGAGAAATTTCCAACAAAGTGAAAAAAAATTCAAAAAAGTGAAATTTTTTCTACTTCAGGGCTACTGTTGAAAATTGGTCCCAACACAAAAAATGATCATAATAGTACCAGGAACTGAAATCTGAAACATTTTAGTCGATATCATTATTTAGAAAAAAACATTTTTTCGGGGTTACGTTAATTTTTCGCGCCCAGGAGAGGGCGTGGCCTATGGGTACCATGATCAAAAGTCTTAGAGTGGCTCCTATACCCACCACGTACAATATCAGACTTCTAGGACCGCTTTGATTTTTTCCATTGCCATGGTGTTTTCGAGTTTCTCAGAAATTGTGTCTTAAAAGAGGCGAGACAGCAAAAATTTCGGGAGACAGTTCGGGGGACGAAATCGCGCCGCGCTTATGTAGACCATCGGTCGTCAGGCGCCTTTGCGCCCCCGTAGCTCAGCCGGTAGCGGCGCGGTACCCCTGAGCTGCCTGTCATGAGTTCAACCCCTCATGGGGGTTCTCTATGCAAAATATCAGGAAAACTTTTTTTAATGTCTGGCTTCCTTTAAATTTGTTTCAAATATTCGCTTTTAGACCTTGTTCTTGTTCTACATTGTCAGGAAAAAACAAAGCAAACCGGTTTCACTCACTTCACCCTTCAATTGTTCCAGAATGGGCAAACCATTATCTATAGTTCACCGTCATCAAGTTCTACCTTCGCTACATCGTCTCCCGGAAGGGTTTATGGCGTTATTTGATGACAGGAATGCGTCAACGTCAGATGCATTCCATTTTCAGCTGTTTTTGGCTACTGTGGTTCGCGAGGCTTTTCATCTGCTTTCTCACTTCTTCATTTTGCTCACCGAACCGTTCATAATAGCTGAGCAACTAGAGTAGAAGTCGAGTAAGTACGAAAACGAAGAGGAGAGATGACACGCTATGATAAACTACATGAATTTTAAATCAGTCTTTCGCTCTTTTTCTTCAATGAGCTTATTTGTTCTTTGAGTTGCCTCCTTGGAAAATATTGTACCATTTTTCATTTAACACGCTTTTGTTGCAGCGCAGTATTTTCCCAAAAAAGAAATCAAAATGAAAAATAGTATAGCTATGACGTTTTGGCGGCGGCTTAGCGTGACTTTACGATAGCAGATTGCATTCGGATTTCGTTTGCCCAAATTTTCGTGCTCCAGATTCATTTCCTTCTGCTAGAAATGCTTGTTCTTCGCGCACAAAAATATCTATTTTTGAAACTCTGAAGTTTTTGACACTCTTCCTTGTCTTTTTTGCTGACTCGTTGACTCAAACGTTCTACTCGACCCTGGGGACATCTTAAACAATCCTTGATGGATACTTTTGTGTCCTTGTTGTTTCCAAAAAAGGAGGAAAAAAATTTAAACGCACCTCTCTATGACAGGACTTGATACATGGCTTGACTTGACATTCGAAATGCACGAAATTGTTGGAAGTGAATTGGAACCCGTACCTTAAAATAGGTACTACATTTGTTTGAGAATTCTTTTTTTTCGTCCCCGAGGCCTCTGTTTCAAATATTCAGTGTTTTCCTCTTCTTGGTTAATTCTCGTGTCTTTAACTTGACCTGATTCACTATTCCCATTTATTTCTCTTTTTCCCCGCTTCTTACATATGCAAATAGACGTGTTTTGGGCCATTCGGTGTAGGTTGCGCGCTCATTGCCGGCACGTCGATTGCCCTTGATAGGCGCACTCCGCATCTTTAAAATTCAAATGTTACTCGTTTTCATTGTTGAGGTTATTTGAATTCTTTACCCATTGGAATCAATGATGTTGATCGACGCATCGGGAGAGTTGCTTCCATCGTGAGCGTAGCATGAGTGAACATAAAAATCGTAGATAGCTGAAAGTAAAAAATAATAAGGAGAAATCTGGAAAACCGGATAAAATTCTTTGAACAATTTTGTTGAGATCGCGATAGGAAACTTCAATGCTTCTTTTCAAAAGTTGGCATATGTACAATATCGGTAAGATGTGAAAAAACGTACCGTAAAACCTGTAATAGAAGTGCCCCCCTGACTTTCAACTTTGAGCCCATTTATCTCGGTTCCTGATAAGGATGTAAAAGATTTGTCAACTAATAAATTGTTACTGCTATCATGATGAACAATTTATCAGTTGACACATTCTTGATATCTTCATCCAGGAAACGAGATAATTGAGCTCAAAGTTGAAAGTCAGGGGGCACTTCTGTTACAGATTTTACGGTATTTTTCAGTTGGTGTCAGGTAATTTTGAAAATTTTTAAGAGCCGAGCTCGGCTGTCAGGATTATGATCATTTTTTAAGTTTTGGAGGGTGTAAAGCATATCTAGATTTACATTTTGGAACACACAGAGTTTTCTGAAAATGTCTAATTTTCTAGCTACATACCGATTTTTGAAAAAAAAGGCGAATATCTGTAATATAAGGGCCTTCATGCAGTCAAGTTTAAGCTCAATCATCTTTGTTCTTATAACAATTATCAAAAATGTGTCAGTTGACGAAGATGTCTAACATTATGATGAGCATGTTATCAGTTGGCTGCATTTTTGTATCTTTAACAAGAACCGAGATAAACTGGCTCAAAATTTAATGTGAATTTGATTGAATTACAGGTTTTACCGTAACTAAAAAAAGGAATTTTCGAAAATTTTTGTGATTGCAAAGTTTTCAATCTAGTCATTTTTTAAACCCTCCAAAATTTTCAAAGGGATCGGGAACGCAAAAACCAAGCTCAAAATGACAAAAAATCATCTGCAAAAATATGTTTTTTGTATATCTTATAGATGATAATTATTAACGAAAAGTTCTCAAAATTAACTTTTCCCGGATTGTTCTATTTCTATCCTCTTTCCCGTCGGAAAAAGATGAGATGATAGGTTTTCATTGCGTGCACAAACAACACTGAAAAATGAGAGAGCCCCCGACAAAAATTCAAGCGTCACGAATAGCACCAAAACGAGAGAAAAGTGAGCAAAGAAGGGATGATCCTCACCTGTGTTCTGAAGCGCTATATCCAGTGTAATCCGTTGGCCGACTGCCGCTTTGACCACTGGTGAGCCGCCGATCCCGTGGCCCTCGAGAATTTGCATTGTGAGCGCCGGTGAGCCGCCGCTTCCAGTCACTACACTGTTGTCGTCGTTCATCGCGTTTATCTATAGTTCAGGAGTTTTTAGTGTTGATTGAAGCCTTAAATTCAAGCAAGAAGCCTCATTATCAGTCGCATATACACTTGCTACGGGCATATTTAGCACAAAATTCGCTGTTGTATATCTTATTGACCGGTTCTGAATTTTAATGGATTACTGTATTACCTGCAACGCATTTGTACCATTGAATATTGGCGGCAGGGTCAATGTGATGTCCTGTGTTGCGTAAATACATTTAACGTTGATTGCACTGAATCCATCCACTATCAAACCATCTACGGGGCTCACCAGCAATTTTATACTGTAGGTCCCACTAGTCTGAAAGTTTTTTTCCTATTTCGAGTGTCAATTTCTAGTGAGCATAATGACGTTCCAGTCATACGGAAAATATCATATGGCGAATAGTGCTGAAATATTCCAATTTTCTTCCAGTCTGATAGTTCCGCGTGGTATTTCAAACGCTAAAAATCAAATTTTCGAACATGTCATGCGGAAAAGGTGTGTCCAGATTTTGAATAAGAAATCATTACAGCGTTCGCTCCCCAGAATTCACTCTGGAATATTTTTCTTTTTAGTAACAACTTTGAGGACTCCACTCCAAAAAAAAATATTAGAAAACACTAAAAAACGATGCCCCTGGCAGATAATGAGAAAGCAGCGTGTAACCTAATTACTACGACTGAAAAGTCCCCGGAAAAAAAAGAAAGGGGGCATATGCATACTCATATTGCAATATGAATGATGCACATTCTCTTTCTGCTCATCGTCCCCCTTCCTTTGCCCACCCTTCAGTTCATCCTCATAGACTTCATCATTTTTTCTTACTGCATTTTTTATCCTTTAGTTTCTATTTCAACTCCACTGGTTTCAACAGCTTCCATAACTTTTCAAACAAGACCCTCCATGTTTTGTATTCTACACTAGCAGCTCTTCACTAATCTCTTTAGTTTGCCACTCTCTTTTGAGTTTGCAGAGAGAACATAAGTTCTCTGAGGGTAATTCATCAAATGGACTAGTTTAAAGCGAAAAAAAAACAGCCACAGAGTACAACAGGAAGTGCCAGGAGCCCCCAAAAAAAGAACTCGAAGAATCGGAAAGACTTGTGCTCTTAACCCTTCAAATCTCAAGGAAACGCAAACCAATTCTTCTTCTTCATTCTAGCAGAAACTATTGAAAATTCTGACGAATACATAGATTTAGTCGTGGTGGTAGTGGTTCCATCACGATTTCCTATTCGTCGCCAGCGACTCACTCTGTTCACTGTGTGAGTGCTGAAAGTGAGAGAATTGCAAATCCAGCCCAAATTTTTAGAACGTCTAGGTTCGTTATTTTTTCTAGAGATTACTGTAAATGTTCTTACAATTTAAACTCGATTATCTCAATTCCTGTGAAAGATATCAAAAAGTTGTCAACTGATAAATTGTTCGCCATAATATCATAAATATTTTTCAGTTGACAAATTGTTGACATCTGTAACAGAATCCTAGATAATTGAGCTCAAAGTGCACGTCGATAGTGTTTCTATTAGAGAATTTACGGTATAATTATCTGCATAAAAATACCTAATACATCACGAGCGTTTGATAGTGATTGTGAGAATGATAATACGCATGGGACCGTCCAAACAAAAATGAATAACAATCTCTTCTACTGTTTTTGCAAAGGTAAATAATCGAGCGTTAGATTGATGGTCTGTAACTAGCTGTATTATTTTCAGACAATTTTTAGACTACCAACGTCAAAATTTGAGTAGCATCCTCAGCAAGCTGCTGGTAATTTCAATATAAAAATTTTGGAGCACGGCTTCAAATAGTTTTCTGAATTCATAAAATTTCGGAAGTAAAAACTTCCAAACTACTATTGGAAGTCAGAGTTTTTTTTGTTATACCCTACAGAAACAAAAAGTAAATAGATTTAACTTTCAAGTAAGTGCTACAGTATTCGGTTTTGTAAAAATTGGTTTTACCGTGAACAATCTATCAAAAGGCAACTCTATACTTATTGCAATTCTAGCTCAATCATTTTATTTTTTGTGAAAGATAGGAAAAATCTGTTAACTGATACAATGTTTGTCATAATATCACCAAAATTTTGTTAGTCAACACATTTCCGATATTTCTACTGAAATTGAGATAATTGAGCTCAAAGTTGGTAAATTGGGTTGGCTACATACTTGTAATCCGGGCCTTTGCCGGGCCTTCGCGGGCCCTGCCATAACTTCTTTCAGAATCAATGTTTTTGAACCAACTCAATCAGGTATGATAGAGCTTCACGAGTACTACAAAACGGTATTATTTGGAATACTGTATCTTGTTGTGAACAGAGTTACAGAGCAAAAGGAGCAACAAAAAGCAGGCCCACCCCGGGCCTGCCGGAAAAGCCACTTTATGATCTGTAACTTTGTTCATAGATAAGATACAGTATTCCAAATAATGCTGTTTTGTAGGACTCGTGAAGGTCTATCATACCTGATTGGGTTG